AAAGAAACTTAAAGGCTTAACTTGAGGATTTAGATCGTCCAAATCCCCTTCATAAGTTTAAGAAAAAAATCAGTGTTCAACATGGCGACTATTTCGTTTGGAGTGTTCGCGTATATAGTCTAAACTATATCATACATTTTTTTTATTTATAAGCATACAACCCTGACCTGTTCAAATACTATTGAATTGAATGTAATATGTATTTTAAGCATAAATGGTGACTTTGGTAAACTGTCAACAGAGGATTTAGATCGTCCAAATAAACAAGTGACGCGGGCGAACACATGTTGAGATGTTGGTCCAATGAGACTTAGTTCTGTGCGGGAACATGAACACCGCTTGTCTCAATTGGATAGCTCTTGATGAATTTGTGTAAATATGGCGCCAGGTTAAGAAATGGTCATGTTTACTGTGTCAAAATCAGAACTGAGAAAAGTCATACAGGTAGCAGGAGCGCTTACTTTAGCCGCAGAATCTCGAGGACAAAGCACATTTAGCAGATTTCATAGACTCGCAAAAGCAGCGGTAACTCAGCTCCGCCAAATTCATCGATGTGTCAATTGCCGCGAAGTTGTCGCCCGTGGGTTAATATTCTGATGAGACTTTGTATTTCTCTGCGGAAACAAGAACACCGATTGTTCCAGTTGGATGGCTCTTGATAAATTTGTGTAACCTTGGCGTCAAGTAAAGGAAGGTCATTTTGACTGTTTCAAAATCAGAACTGAGAAAAGTCATATGGGTGCAGGGGCCAAGCTAATTTATCAGATTTTCTAGACACGCAAAAGCAGCGGTAGCTCATCTTTTCCGAATTCATCGATGTGTCAATTGCGGCGAAATTGTCGCCTGTGGGTTAATAATCTGTAAAGTAAACCTTTACTGTAATCGAAACATCTTAATCAGTTGCGATTAAAAGATTTATAACTCTCCCACAGTCCTTTGCAGGTAAACCAGAGTAAATCACAGAGCAGTTCATTTATTAACCAATCACATGAGAGCTAATACACAACAATCTAACAAAGGAGATCAGCAGTAAATACTAAGAAACGTTTAAAGGACTAACAGAAGATTTAGATCATCCGAATCCCGTTGAAAGAGTTGCAAGCAGACATTTTCATCAGTTTAAAAAAATCAGTGTTCAAAATGGCGACTTTTTTTTTGGAGTGTTCGCGTATATAGTCTAAACTATATCATATAAA